TATGGAGTAGGTTAAGGTGGGGAGAGGGTGGCTGTCCCAAGGTCACTCAGTTAACTTTATGCCAGAGCAGGCTCTTAAATTCAGATCCTCATCAGGCCCTGTAACCAGCACACCATAGTGGCTCTTTGCCCAACTCTCTCCCTGTAGCGTGAGTTCCGCTGTCCCCGAGAAGCAGAAGTGATTTATGGGGTCCTTTGAGATGCCATCCCCCAAATGTACAGAATAATGCGTCTTCTTATCTCCGCTCACCGGTGAAACTAATGGCACAAGGGAAAAACTTAAATAGAAGCATGGTGGCCTGTTCCAAGGGAGGGGGAGGCGGTGTTTCTCCTTTGCCCCAGGGCATGGAAATAGCTTTAGCTGTTGTGAGCTGTGAAGGGACTAGGGTTGCCAGGTCCCCCCTGGCCACCAGAGGGGGATGAGGGGCATAGGGTTGCCAGATCCAGATTGGGGAGCTCCTGGAGATTTGGGGGTGGAGCCTGGGGAGGACAGGGACCTCAGTGGGGTACAATGGCCATAGAGTCCACCCTCCAAAGCATCCACTTTCTCCAGGGGAACTGATCTCTGTAGTCTGGAGATGAGCTGTAATTCCGGGGGATCCCCGGGTCCCACCTGGAGGCTGGTATCCAGAACTGATGTGCAAGTCCCCATTCCTTCAGATGCTTAGGCATTGGGAAATGCTGTGGCCATCTCGAGTGTCTGCTTGGTGATGCTGCCTCTTTCCATCACTGCTGGGTGTGTGTGTGTGTGTGTGTGTATGAGTTCAAAATCAAACTGGGTAGCAGCTGCTGCCAGCAGGAAATCTGAGTATCTCCTGCTTGACGCGTTTGCACATCCAGCGCTCTGCCCACCCGCAGTGCTGTTTACAGGCTCTGCCTCTTGCCTTACCTCCCACTTTGCTCCTAGGAATGAGGACAGGGAACGTTGGTGGCACTTTTTTGCAGTTTTTGAGTTATTGTGCTCCAGGGACAGAGCTACTGCCCTTCCTCCTTAATGCACTTTAGCAAGGCCACTGAATAGCTATGGTGTGTTTACAGTGATCAGACTTAGAGCATTCCAAAAAAATCAAAGAGTTTGTTAAAAAGAAAAAGTACATGTGGCCCGTTCAAGCATCAGGCTGAGCAAGAGTACAAAGGTGAAAAGATGCATTCCTCTTAGTCTACATTTATCCTAAATATGTAGCTAGGATAGGCTTGTATTTCTTGAGACCACAAGTAATTTAAAGTTCAGTGTTACCTTAGTTCTTGGAGTCCCTTGCCACACGGGCAAGATAGAGGGCTTCCAAGCCCCTGCTTGGGGGGTAGGGGGATCACCAGCTCCCAGCATCGAAGTAACGTCTCTGGAAATATCACTTCAGCAAGCGCCAGAAGTGATCATCATCTGCTTCTACCATAGAGATTTTGCCCAAATCAAAGCATCCCATGTTGTTGGCAATGCGACATCACTTCTAGTGTAGTGACATCACTTGTTCCCTCTAAGCTGTGGAGTCCTGTGAACAAAAATTCTACTTTGTGAGCTGCTGGCATTAAAGTTGTGAGCGAGCGATTTGGCCACTGCATACATTAATTTGCTCTGGAGCCCTCCTTCCTGAGCGGAGACAAAAATGTGTGAGCTGGAGGCTAAAAAACTGTGAGCTAGCTCACACTAACTCAGCTTAGAGGGAACACTGGTGACATCATTGCGCTGCTGGGCTGGGCTCCTGCGCTGCTGCTGATAGGCCCTCCCTTGCTCCTCACCAGATACACGATGGCATCCCCAGGTAGTCTTGCCTAGCTGGTGCCTCCCTGGACAGAAACTGTAAGAGCATCAACTTCTTTTCCTGTGGAATTCATAATCCCCCCTTTCAGCATCTCTCTCTTCTCCCCTGCCCCCATTGCTCTGAACTTCCTGCCTCAAGAGGAAAAGAAAACTATCCAGCCACCTGGCAGTCCAAGATGTTCTAGGCGGTCATGTCTAGGTGTGACATTCTAGAAAGGGGTGAGATAACAAACCCTTTGTTCCCCCAGCCCACTATTTGCGTAATTTAAGAGCTTGAGTGATCAGCGCTTGGGGGAATGGGTGCATCATTCCTGGTGCTTGTCCTCTCTGCTAGCTACAGATTTCAGGAGGGGCTCCTGTGACATGTGTACAGTGTAACCTAATGGTTGTATTTTGGAGGAGATCCTTCACATGATCTTTCAAGCCAGAGGAGAGAAAGTAGAGAAGAAGAGATTGGATTTATACCCCATCCTTCACTTGGAGTCTCAGGGCGGTTTACAATATCCCTTCCCTTCCCTACAACAGACACCCTGTGAGGTAGGTGGGGCTGAGATAGTGCTTTCGAGAACTGCCCTTGAGAGAACACCTCTGACAGAACGATGGCTTGCCCAAGGATATCCAGCAGCTGCAAGTGGAGGAGTGGGGAATCAAACCGGGTCCTCCCAGATTAGAGTCTGTGCACTTAACCACTACACCAAACTGGCTCTCATGCACTTGCTCCTCAATCCTCCCTACATCTACCACAAGCTTTTTGAGTAAGTTTCCGGCACAATCAGCACCTTGGCCTTTAAGGTGCCATCATGGCAGCCTCTGTCCCATTACTCTAGTTTGCTATATAGCCTGCCCCTCTGCAGTGGCTTCAGGTTGTTCTGGCTTCATGTGAAAATCATGTAAATACACAGCAATCCTTATACCCAAGCTTTTTCCCAATAACCAAGTCTTGATTTAATACTTAAGAGATCCATCCGTTCACAAAGTTCTAATCATAGATCTAGAAACTTGTTTTGTCTCCTGGTCTTGCAAACCAACAGGCGTTAAAAACTTACTGCTTCTTCCAGAACCATCTTATACTACCTGCCAACTATTAACTACAAGGGTTAGGCATGCTGGTTTGACACATCAAATGGTTTAACAAAGGTGGCGATTCTGCGTCCATATAATAATCAGAGGCCCCTTGAGTTACATTGTGGTCATGTTAACATAATTTTTTTCTTTGTGAGAATGAGTAGTTGGAGGCAGCAAGATCTTGATTTGTGTATAGTTTAAAAAACAACAACAATATAAACCTTTTACTATTTCATTCCTGGTATGTATCAGCCTAAAGGCTACAAAATATAACAGAGTTCAAAAAGAGCAGTCAGACCTTTTGGTGTCTCAAACATTTGCCTTCAACAAAAGAAATCTCCAAAAAGCTCTCTGTGAGTCTTCTGTGGGCTGTCTGGCTTCAGTGGTTGGAGTACACATGTGTTACACACAAGAGGTCCCAGATTCAGTCCAGTCTCAGAAAGCAGACAGGAGACAAGACCACCAACTGCCTGAGACCTTCGACTGGTGCTTTCAGTGCAGAGCTTCACAGATCTGTGGCCTGACATGCCAGAGAACAGCTTGATTTGTGCACGGACGGAAGCATGCACAAGGTGCATTTTGGTTTGTCTTCTTTTTTGTGTGTAAATAGTTGGATTTGAGTCTAGTAACACCTTAGAGACCAGACAGCTTGATTTGTGCATAGATGGAAGCGTGCACAACGTCTTCTTTTTTGTGTGTAAATAGTTAGATTTGAGTCTAGTAACACCTTAGAGACCAAAAAGATTTTCAGGGTATAAGCTTTTGAGAGTCAAAGCTCTCTTCAGTCAGACACAATACAGTACGTTATCTGGCACCAAGGGGGTCTGGAATTCCATTTCCTTGAAAAAAGAGAGATAATGTTATCTATAATTGGAGGTGGTGGCCACTAATCCCGTTAAAATTGCCAAGGGTGACACAGAAGTGTCAGTTTTCTTAGGTCTACATTAGAATGATGCAATTTGTTGTCAGGTTCTCCTGCATTTTTAAGAAGCTAATTAGCAGCCAGACACAGCTGCTTTGAAAACCTGGGCAAGACTGCTGGAGGAGAAAGCTTTTAACCCTCTCCTCCCATATCTGTCTGACAATTTAATTTAAATTGCCTCCCAAGCTGCAATGGCAAACCACCTCTGAGGGACTCTTACTGTGAGGGTCACCATTTCCACGTTACCACTACTCCCTTGGAGGAAGCAGACATTTTGTAGGAAGGGGAGCTATCTGGATGTATACTCTGACTTGCTGTAAGGCAGTGTCATATATGTTCATATAAGAACATATGAGTGATGGCATCTGTAGTGGTTAGAGTGTTGGATTATGATCTGGGAGACCCAGGTTTCAACCTTTACTCCGCCATGGAAGCTTGCTGGGTGACCTTGGGCCAGTCACACACTCTCAGCTTACCTCACAGGGGTGCTCTGAAGATAGACTGGAGGAGAGGCAAATGATGAAAGCTGCTTTGGTCCCCACTGGAGAGAAAGACAGGGTATAAATGAAATCAAATAAATAAATGAAACCAAACAAATATATTCTCATGGCAGCCCTATGAGATAGGTTAGGCTTAGTTAGAAAGAGTGATTAGCCCAACTATGTAAGCTTCATGGGGGGCGGCTAGCTCAATGGCGGACGCTAATTGAGTGTACTCCGAGAGACCCCTCTGACTCCTGCTAAACTGAAAAACTAAACAACCATTAGACTTACAGGCACCCAAGATATGGGCAAATCAGGTGGAACAAAACATCGATCGGGAGAAGCAAATTCAAGCCACTTAGAATCTTTTTTCATAACGAAAACACAAGCGGAATGCAGCGAGGGCCGCAACAGCTCGAGGACAATATGGTGACCGGGACAACGACTTCGGCCCCTACGCACTCCCCTTTAAGCAAACAAGAACTCACGGACACCCTCAGACTATTTAAAAATGAGATGTTGGACAACATCAATACTATGCTTAAACCCATGTCAGAACAAATGGAGGCACTACAGATTTCGATGCAAAAAGCAGCTCAATCGGCTAATATGGCGTTGAAAGCCTCAACAGCTAATCAAGAAGACATCAGAAACTTGCAGGACAGCGAAATCTGGGCTAAAGAAAGAATATTATTACTGGAACATACAACCCGAGAGAGATTTCTAAAACTTAGAGGCTTCCCTGAGCAAGCGGAAGGATCCAAAGAACTTACTTCGTTTCTTTCAACGTGGCTGGCGTCGGTCATCGTCTTTAAAGACGGTTTAGCACCAATGCTGGTAAGAGCGTATCGGCTGGGTCCTGCAGTTGCGGACATGTGCAGAGGTCCCCGGGACATTCTAACTGAATTTTTGGACTTACGTTTGAAAAACAGAGTACTACAAGAAGCAAAGAAGAACAGACAATTTAAATTCAACGAGAGCGACATCTATGTGTTTCCAGATGTACCACCCGAGGCGTTACGAATTAGAAGAACTCTCAAACCTATCACAACAAGCCTTAATGGTGCAGGAATCAAATATCAATGGTCACAAACAGGTTACCTTCAAGTCAGGTATCAAGGGGTGAATTACTAAGCAGATGACCTTGATTCAGGAGAATCTCTCTTGAAAGCAGTAGGATTAGGAGCTTCGCAAGACACTGAATCTGACCTTCTTAGAAAATGTAAAAGATTGAGCCAAACTACTCCACATAGATGGAGCAAGATACCCACAAGACGACGTATAAACTTATAAACAGCTACAAGGAGTACAAATCGAAGGTGTTTACAATTTAAATCTTTATTGCTCTAATGGTTTTTGTAAAAATTTAGCTTAATAATGGTTAGGATTTGTTACTTAATATGCTGGCAGGGGATGTGGGGGGAATTTCATGGTTCCCTTTTCTGTTTTTTGGAGGCTTTTCTTGTTAGGGTTATTATGGGCAGCAGTCCTAAAGGAGGAGCTCACTGGGCTCCATGTGGAAGGTTTTTTCACACCCAGTGATTGCTGTAAGGGGGGGAGGGGAGGGAGATTTCTCAATGGGTTAAGTTTTGGGTTTAGTACTCTAGGTCAGATGTTTATCAATGTAAGGGAATATTTTGCTCCCAGAAACAGAGACAAAACTATATGGAAAACAGGGAGAGTAAAAATTTTACTTCAAGGAACAAAAGTTGAACACTGCATAACGATTAGGCAATGGTTTATATGCAAACAAGGTTTACTCTATCAATGGAAAATTGCATAGTAATACTTCTCAAGTTTATAATTGTATGCTATTATCTTTTGCAAATACAGTATTATCTGAAGTTAATGTGTTTTAAGGATATTGCTTTTAAAATAGAAGCTGGTAACATATCACATACTTTAACTTGTTTTAAAGAACTCATTGCTGAAACCTTAAACTATCACTTTGAACCTGAATTATGGAAGGGATAAAAATAATTACACTTAATTGTAGAGGAGTAAATAATAAGATTGAAGCTGCGGTGGCTCAAGTGGTTAAGACGCTGAACTGCAGGCTATGGAAGGTTGGTAGTTCAGCAGTTCGAGACCCGGGTGCCGCATGACGGAGTGAGCTCCCGTCTCTAGTTCCAGCTCCTGCCAACCTAGCAGTTCGAAAGCAAGAAATTGCAAGTAGATAAATAGGTACCACTTCGGTGGGAAAGTAACAGCATTCCGTGCGCCTTTGTGTTTAGTCATGCCGGCCACATGACCACGGAAACGTCTTTGGACAGCGCTGGCTCTTCGGCTTTGAAACGGAGATGAGCACCGCAACACTAGAGTCAGATTCAACTGGCTTTCGAGCAAGGGAACCTTTACCTTTAAATAATAAGATTAAGGCTAAATGTATTGCTAAGGACTTACAACAGCAAAAAGTTAATGTGGCACTCTTACAGGAAACTTATATTAAAAAGGTCATAAGGCATTGCCTACTAATTGGTTTTCAACACAATATTTGGCTTATGTTTCATCGAAATCAAGAGGCATGGCCATTTTAATCTCCAAAAATACTAAATTGTGTGTGGAGGATTGTGAAAAAGATGAAGAAGGGTGCTTTATTTTTATTAGAGGTATACTTAATGAAACACCTATAACTATTGCATCTCTCAATGCTTCTAATAAGAATCAGATGCATTTTATGTCTAAAATTTTATCCAAACTAAGCAAATTTCAAAAAGGCCCTATTCTTTTAGCGGGAGATCTAAATTATTTAATGGATACCTTTTTAGACAGAACATCTCACAAAATGTCATGCAAACACAACAGGACAGGAAAACAGAAGCCCAGCCAATTACAAATGCTACTCCAAACTTATGATCTACATGACGTATGGAGGCTACAGCATAGCAAAGACCGAGATTACACTTATTACTCGCAAAAATATAGAACACATACACGTTTAGATTATATTTTGGTCTCTACTGAACTACTTAACAGGATAAAATCATCGACAATTGGTAATAAAAGATGGTCAGATCATGCCCCAGTCCAATGCATTATACACGAAGAAAACACAGCACACCTTAGAAGCAAATGGAAATTTAACAAACTTTTATTGCATGAAACTAAAATATACAATAATTTACAGAAAGAACTGCAAGATTACTTTAAAATTAATACATCAGATAAAATTTCTATTCAGACAGTCTGGGAAGCTTCAAAAGTTGTCATGAGAGGCAAATATATATCTTTGATGGCATTCTGTAAGAAAGAAAAAAACAAAGTCAGGAATGAACTTTTACATACTATACAAGCTCTTGAAGTAAAACACAAACAAACGTGTAGTAATAGGATTTACAAGAGCCTGCAAGAAGCACGAAAACAACTTGACATGCTCGAGGCTACAGAATTCCATAAATAAACTTTTAATCTATGCGAATTAAATACCACAAAAAGCTCTCGAAAATTGCGTTTTATTTCTTGGAGGCTAAAAAAGAGACAAATTGAGCGCTTCATTAGGGATCATCACAATAATTTAAAATATACAACTAAGGAAATAATACAAATAATGCAAGATTTTAATGAAAAATTATATACTTCCAATAAACCTGACACAATAGATATACAAAAATATTTAAGCTCGATTGAAACACTACAAAAAATCAAGGAAGAGCACTATGAACTTTTAGAAGCCCTATTCAATAATCAAGAGGTTGAACAAGTGATTAAAAAATTAAAAATAAATCACCGGGACCGGACAGGTACACAGCAGAATACTATAAAGCTTTCCTACCAATAATTACACCACTTTTAAATACTTGCAATTCAGTTTTGACTACTAGTGAAATGCCAGAAACATGGAAATTGGCTAATGTTATTTTACTTCCCAAAAAGGGTAAGGATACAACAGACCCAAAATCTTTTCATCCAATTTCCTTACTAAACACTGACTATAAAATGTTTACGTCAGTAATAGCAGCATGGATGAAAGCTATAATTGGTAACTATATCTACAAAGATCAAACAGGCTTTGTTCCAACATGTGATATATCAGACAATATTCGCAAACCACTCAATATTATATATTATGGGAAACAGAATAAACTTAGAAGCTTTTTACTATTGTCAATAGACATAGAAAAAGCGTTTGACTCCCTGGAAATACATCTGGAAACTCTCCTACAGCATATGCAATTTGGCCCAGTATTCTGCAGAACAGTACACACAATATATCAACGTCCTATGGCAAAATTTTTAATTAATGGAGCAAACTCAAAGGATATAACTCTACAAAAAGGCACAAGACAGGGCTGTCCTCTGTTGCCAATTCTATTTGTACTTGCAATGGAACCATTGGCCTGCACTTTAAGATCAAACTCACAGATCGAAGGAATTAAAATTCAAGACAAAGAATTCAAGATAAGTTTGTTTGCGGACGATGTTATTTTATATGTTTCAACACCTGAAAGGTCCTTACAAGCTATTCATCTTACTTTGGAAAAATTTGCTTCAGTTGCAGGACTTAAAGTAAACCAAGCTAAATCGGTGATATATCCGATTAATCTTGCAGATAGAACGAGGCTTTCTATTAGAAATCAGTACAATTATGAATGGGTAGAACATCACCTTCAATATCTAGGCATAAAAATACCACTGAATATAACTGATTTTATTACAGTAAACCATATAGAAATACACAAAGAAGTCAAAACCCTATTAACAAAATGGAATACCAACTTATTTTCCTGGCTAGACAGAATCAGTATTTTACGATCATACATTCTACCTAAATATCTTTACTGCTTCTGGACTTTACCTATCCAACTTTTAGAACAGCAACTTAAAAAATGGCAAAGTGACATCAACAAGTTTCTATGGAAATTCAAAGCACCTCGTGTCAAATTTTCCACTCTGCGTAAACCAATATATAAAGGTGGGCTAGCAGTACCAGATTTAAGTTTATATTATAAAGCAACGTCGTTAGCAACAACAGTACGCCAATATCATGAAGACTACTCTTTAGATTGGAAATGGATTGAAGAAACAACTTCAAAAGGATCAAACCTTCATGAACTTTTATGGAAAACTACATCTCAGGAAATGTGTCAGTTGGTCACAAACTCTTTCTTAAGAGCAATGCTTAAAATATGGTATTTGAACAAATCCAAAATAACCATGCCATTTTCACAATTAAGCACTTTCACAGGGCAAACGTGGTTTTTACCAGCAAGAGACCCCAATTCATTTTTTACCTGGAAGTCTGTGGGTATAACTAGAATTATAGACGTAATTCACAAAGGAAAACTACTCATGAAAGTTGATTTAGAAAGAAAACATAAAATGAATATCAAATTGTATGAATATTTGCAGCTACAGCATCTTACAGATTCTTCAAGCATTAAAACTTCTATTACTAACACGCCTCATGACTGAACGAATTCTCGCCAAGCATACTAAAAAACAAGGTCTTATCTCCAAAATTTACTTAATTTTGCTTAATACACAAAAGGCTCAATGATTAAGCTATCAGAATGCTTGGATCTCAGATCTACAACAACTCATTACGGAAGAAAATTGCACTGAGATATGGCAAACGCAAGCACAAATATCCAAATCGTCGACTATTCAAGAAGCGAACATGAAAGTGCTTTTAAGATGGTACTTAACCCCGACTAAACTAGCGCATATTTTTCCACAGGTATCCCCAATGTGTTGGAAACTTTGTGGAGAGAGAGCTACATATTTTCACAATTGGCAGTCTTGTAAATTCATTTTGCAATTCTGGACCAAGATTGAAATTCTTACAAGTTACAACTTACCTTTGAATGCAGCTTTAATGTTATTGCACCTATGGCCTCACGATTAAGCTATCAGAATGCTTGGATCTCAGATCTACAACAACTCATTACGGAAGAAAATTGCACTGAGATATGGCAAACGCAAGCACAAATATCCAAATCGTCGACTATTCAAGAAGCGAACATGAAAGTGCTTTTAAGATGGTACTTAACCCCGACTAAACTAGCGCATATTTTTCCACAGGTATCCCCAATGTGTTGGAAACTTTGTGGAGAGAGAGCTTGTAAATTCATTTTGCAACTCTGGACTAAGATTATTCAGCAAATTGAAATTCTTAGAGTTACAACTTACCTTTGAATCCAGCTTTAATGTTATTGCACCTATGGCCTCACGTTCGTCCACCTGCAAACAGAAGAAAATTAATAAATATTTTAATAACTGCAGCCAAAATGACAATTGCAAAAAACTGAAAAGACAAAAATCCTCCTTCCATAAAGCAATTGTTTCACAAAGTATGGGACTTATTTTTATTGGAAAAATTTTCAATTTATAACACTACAGATCAAAACGAATGTGAATTTTATAATCCTTTAAATATATGGTATATATTAGAAAAAATAACAATCAATAAATTTGATTGGGAAACTATTACGGAAGCAATGTATAAGATTCTGTTATATAATTGAAAATAGAGTTTCTGGTTAATAGGTGAATTCTCATCACTATAAAAGTTTTTGATGCTATTGTTGTATAAGATTTAACATTGTTTTTTTAAAAGAGTTATTCAGTTTCATATCCTGTATTTAAGCATGAAATAATGACAAATGTCTGACTGTTTGGGGTTTGTTTGTTTTTTGTTTAAAAAAATTAATAAAAGTGTTAAAAAATAACAACTATGTAAGCTTCATGGATGAGTAGAAATTTGAACTCGGATCTCCCTGACACTAGTCTGACACTCTGCGCCATGCTGCTTCCCAAGAGGTGCTGCGTTGGCATTCCAGTGAAAAAGATATGGTGGCTGGCAGCAGACTACCTCTGATGGTCCGGCATAGCTGTTACCAGACTTTCAGAGCTCTTGCAAGTCAATCCATAATTTTCATTTGCACTGATTGATTTTATTTACATCCTGTTTTGCTTCCACAATGGAACTCAGGGCAGCTGATATTCCCGAGAGATCCCCTATCCAAGTCTCGGCTGGCCCAGTCCAGACTTGCTTAGTTTCAACAAAGCTATTGCATCATATGCTGCATGACCATACTCTGGGAATAATCTCACCTGTGTGGCATCTCTGATGTTTGTACAAGTCCATCTTCTTTGTAAATTGTTGCAAGCATTCAGCGCACTGGTAAGGTTTTTTGCAATGTGTCCGCTTATGCTGAAGGAGGCTTGACCCCCTCGGAAACTTTTCCCCGCACTCAGGGCATTCGTATGGTTTCTCTCCAGTGTGCTGTCTCCAGTGTACGATCAGGGTCTCTCTATGTCTGAACCTTTGCCCACACTCCAAACACTCGTAAGGTTTCTCACCCGTGTGGATCCTCTGGTGTCGAAGAAGCTTGGCCTTTTCACGAAATCGTTGCTTGCACTGGGGGCACTCGAAGGGTTTCTCTCCAGTGTGGATTTGCTGGTGCCTCTCGAGGTTTCTTTTCTCACCAAACCGCCTTCCGCATTCCAAGCACGGGAACGGTTTCTCTCCGGTGTGGACCCTGTGGTGCCGAATGAGGTTTGAGAGGCATAAGAAGCGTCTGCCGCAACTGAGGCATTCATAGGGAGTCTCTCCTGTGTGGGTCCCTTGGTGTTTAACAAGAGACGCTTTGGTAGAAAAAATTCTCCTGCACTCAGGACAAGAGAAGTGTTGCTCTCCCTTACTGACTCCAGTTTTTTTCACACTTCGCACCCGTCCATTGCCAGCAAGCATATCCTCCGTCTCCTGTAATTGCTTTGCTTGCTCCTTCCTCAATTCAAGTATTCTCCCACATGCTTCAGGCTGCAGGGAAACAGCCTCTTGGGCCCCGTCCCTCTGCTTTGCTCTATCCAGGCTTCCCTGCTGAAGATTCACTTCCTGCTTCATGCTCACCACTCCATCAGAACCATTTCCTGGGGCAAGGACAGAGGAAAAAGGAATGACTGACAACCAACTAGGAAGAAAGCAGGGGAGAGAATGTGGAAGAAGGGACTGGCAAACAAAAGGGGAGAATCCCTACAGTAAGGAAGCATGCCTTCAATACTGAAACCAGGCATGCCAGAAGAAGGGCTCTCTGGCTTAGAGCCTAACTGTATGGCACGCTATTTACAAGTCTGCCTCAGGTCCTGTCAGCAGATGGGCACTGGGATTTCTTTGTTAGAATATCAAGCATGGCCCTACACTGTTTTGCTGACCTTAAAGGGCCCTGTGAAGCTGTTATTTCCCCAGTGGGCTCCCATCAGTACCCACAATCTTCTGTAGCAGGGTAAACAGCAACTCTGTGGGGCCATTTCACATTGGGAAAATGGTTTTGGGGCATGGAAGCCTAAATCCTCTCTCCTCATATGCCACAGGCTCCCAATTCAAATCAGGCCGCTATACGCCTAAGAATCTAAATGTCAACTGAGAGCTCCCAGTGCACATCTGCTTGATACAACACAACTCTCTCTCACTAGCCACATATATAATTTAAAATATTTATTAGCCACCATTTTTCCTATGGAGTTCAACGCATCTTACAATCTTAATAAAATACATAAAAACATTTAAAAACATAAAAGCAAAATTTAAAATTTAACAAAAATTTAAAGTCACAATTTAGGACTGCTTTAATTAGAATAGGTTTTTATACCCCCCTTTTCTCTACCTCTACCCTAAGACGTCTCAAAGTGGCTTACAATCGTCTTTCCCTTCCTCTCCCCACAACAGGCCCCTTGTGAGGTAGGTGGGGCTGAGAGAGTTCTGAGAGAACTGTGACTGGCCCAAGGTTACCCAGCAGGCTTCATGTGGAGGTAACGACTGAATCCTAATTCTAGAGTCCAAACTCAGACTTGTCACCTTTGTGAAAGTTTGGCAGCTTGGCTCTACTGGATGTTATTTGTGATTTGTATTAGAAACCCCCTATCAAGGGGCTGGCCGTTCCAGGGGTTTTTTAGCTCTCTTACCTGAGCTTGTGTCTCTCTGGCTCTTCCCTTCCTGCAGAATTTGGGCACTGGGTAACCACTCTTCCTTCCCCTTTTCCAGCTGAGAAATCAACCCTGGTTTGGGAAACGTAAACCCTGTTCATGTAGAAATCAACCCAAACACAATCAGACAATGGATTTTATACTTTCAGAATCAACACAGAAACAAAAATCAGTGGTGAAAGAGACACAACACAGACTCTGGGTAAGATACTGTAACAGAAATGCTATTAGATCTGATGGCTCGCTAGTAATGAACACTGATGGTCAGCTGATATTTCTACAGTTATCGGAGGATGCTTGCTCTGATTTCAAATTTCTCATCCCTCCTGTTTTGACACCTAAATCTCCACATCTCGTTAGGTGCACCTTTGGGTGAACTGAACCCATGATTCTTTTGTTTTCTAACAATCTTGTTTCCTTGCACTGAATTGCTCCCATAAAATACTGCTGGTTTTTCAGTGCAATTTGTACATCTCTAAATCAACATTATATGTCTGTAACTGAGCATTATACATGACACATGTTGCATATATGAATAAAATGTGCATAAAATCCATTCAGCATTATGCAACATTGGGGAGGGGCCTTGGCTCAGTGGTAGAGCATCTGCTTGGTCTGCAGAAGGTCCTAGGTTCGATTTTCAGCATCTCCAGTTAAAGGGATCAGGGTAGTAGTTGATGTGAAAGACCTCCGCCTGAGACCCGTTGAGAATCACTGCCAGTTTGAGTAGACAGTACTGACCTTCATGGACCAATGGTCTGATTCAGCATTATGCAATTTCATCTGTGATACAAATTAATCTACAGAAGTAGCAGCAGACAGTGGTGAACTGGCACCAATGACAAAAATATTACTGAATACAAAATTACAAAATGGGGGGTGGCATTCACTCAGCCCTACCTGATCAATGGCTAAAAGATATTGCTTCAATGAGCATTGAAGTAGTGACTATTGTTCGACATTGCACCCCACATGCTTGTTGAGGGGTTGGAGTTGTAGCCAAGAAAAGGAAAACAAATCTTGAGTTTTGCAGCTGGCTGGAAAAAGGGCTTGCAAATGGATGCTGCTTGCCTTTGAGGTGAATGGATACCATTTTGTAGACAAGGACTGTCTGCTCACATCTGCTCTCCTTTTTAACATTCATCTATTTTCAAATGTCACAAAATGTTCTAGGCTTCCTGGTTTCTCTCCATACAAGGAAAGATTTCTTGTCACAATTCTCTTGGGAACTTCCTAAGAATAGGGAGCCCAATGAGTGGTCATGGCTCAGTGGTAGAGCATCTGCTTGGCATGCAGAAGGTCCCAGCATCTCCAGTTAAACGGACCGGGTAGGAGGTGATGCGAAAGGCCTCTGCTTGAAACCTTGGAGAGTTGCTCAGTGGTAGAGCATCTGCTTGGCATGCAGAAGGCCCCAGCATCTCCAGTTAAACGGACCAGGTAGGAGGTGATGCGAAAGGCCTCTGCTTGAAACCTTGGAGAGTTGCTTTCAGTCTGAGTAGACAATCCTGACCCTGATAGACTGATTGGCCTGATTCAGTGTAAGGCAGCTTCATGTGTTCACATGATGCGTGAAAAAAATATCCAGTTCTTCACTAGGATTGCACTGAATTGCTCCCATAAAATACTGGTGGTTTATCAGTGCAATCTCTAAATCAACATTATACGTCTGTAACTGAGCATTATACATGACACATGTTGCATATATGAATAAAATGTGCATAAAATTCATTCAGCATTATGCAACATTGGGGAGGGGCCTTGGCTCAGTGGTAGAGCATCTGCTTGGTCTGCAGAAGGCCCTAGGTTCAGTTTTCAGCATCTCCAGTTAAAGAGATCAAGGTAGTAACTGATGTGAAAGACCTCAGCCTGAGACCCATTGAGAGTCACTGCCAGTTTGAGTAGACAGTACTGACCTTCATGGACCAATGGTCTGATTCAGCATTATGCAATTTCATCTGTGATACAAATTAATCTACAGAAGTAGCAGCATACAGTGGTGAACTGGCACCAATGACAAAAATATTACTGAATACAAAATTACAAAACGGGGGGGGGGGGGTTCACTCAGCCCTACCTGATCAATGGCTTTTGATGGCTAAAAGATATTGCTTCAATGAGCATTGATGTAGTGACTATTGTTCGACATTGCACCCCAAATGCTTGTTGAGGGGTTGGAGTTGTAGCCAAGAAAAGGAAAACAAATCTTGAGTTTTGCAGCTGGCTGGAAAAAGGGCTTGCAAATGGATGCTGCTTACTTTTGGGGTGAATGGATACCATTTTGTAGACAAGGACTGTCTGCTCACATCTGCTCTCCTTTTTAACATTTATCTATTTTCAAATGTCACAAAATGTTCTAGGCTTCCAGGTCTCTCTCCATACAAGGAAAGATTCCTTGTCACAATTCTCCTGGGAACTTCCTAAGAACAGGGAGCCCAATGAGTGGTCATGGCTCAGCGGTAGAGCATCTGCTTGGCATGCAGAAGGTCCCAGGTTCAATCCCCAGCATCTCCAGTTAAACGGACCAGGTAGGAGGAGATGCGAAAGGCCTCTGCTTGAAACCTTGGAGAGTTGCTTTCAGTCTGAGTAGACAATCCTGACCCTGATAGACTGATTGGCCTGATTCAGTGTAAGGCAGCTTCATGTGTTCACATGATGCGTGAAAAAAATATCCAGTTCTTCACTAGGATTTTTGGGAAAACGTGCTCATTAGTTAATACTCAAAAGAAAAGAGATCCTTACCTAGTGAGGTAACAAGTTGATAATTCTCCAGCATGACTTCCCTGTAAAAGGCCCTTTGATCTGGTTGCAGGAGAGCCCATTCACTCTCTGTGAAATACACCGCCACCTCTTCAAAAGCTGTCTGCACCTGAAAGCACAGAATCATAAACCTGAGAATGTAACATGCACCTCCAACCCTATCTGGCGCCCCTCTCAACTTAGCTCATATCAGGATTTTAAACCACAAATGGAGGGTCCCAGCAATAAAGGCTCCAGTACAGTCCTTGTAACCCCACCTCAAAAAGGGTTACTAACTGTCCCCAACAGAACAACAATCTCTGATCCCTCTGCACCCCAGTTCTCTTACCTTAATCAGTTCCAGCGCAGTCATTTCCTTTTGCCCAGGAGATAGAGACAATTCAAAATGAGGCATGGATGACAACCTATTGCCTGTGAAAGTGAAAGACACAATGGGGCAGATTTCAGGAAGAACATTAGTCCCTGATCTTTCATGTTACAGAAACATAAACGTAGAAGACCCTGATGCTGGGAAAGATTGAAGGTCAAAGAAGACGGGGACGGCAAAGGATGAGGGCAGTGTCATCGATGCAACGAACATGAAGTTGAGCAAACTTCAGAGGATGGCGGAAGACCGGAAGGCCTGGCGGGAGCTGGTCCATGGGGTCGCAAAGAGTCGGACTCGACTGTGCTACTGAACAACATCCTAAATGTGTACTGTTTCAGTCTGAGCAGTAGCCTACACTGTGAAAGGGGCGAGAGATTTAGCCTCTAGCCTGAGGACTATTCTATGCTGCTGAACAAACTGCTGACTTGTATGACTTGTTTTTGTATTAATTCTTACATTGTTGTTTTTATT